GAACACCCAAACTCTTCACTGATAACTGGGCTAGAGACCCGTCCTCATTGATCTCCCTCCCAGCATACATGTGTTGAACCTGGGAGTAAATCATTGAACTCTGAGCTTCCTCAAACCATGAACCCCTGTGAGAACCTCACGGAAACCCCAAGCCCTCCTACCCCCCAACTTCACATCCATGTGAAGCTACAGTGTAACTTTAAGGGGTTCACAAATCCCCTGGTTCCAGTGACTGATGAGGACAGAGACCATGTTTATCATCAGTCAAATGGGAACAGGCACGATACACTTGTAGACCACTTCCCTGTGAATCTCTGGAAGGCCAAGTCTCAGCATTTCTGTTCCTTAGATTAGATACGGTTGGTTAGCTGGATGGTGTTGTGCCCTAACATTTTCATGACTTTGAGTAGCAAGCATTCTCAAAGGCAAAGACTCTGAGGGAATCCACAGGGGAATCCAAGGAAATGAAATCATCATCTTTGACCATAGAGCAGGGTACCAAGCACTGTGGGGCCTGGCTTGGGACCTCATTGGAAGCAAGAGAGAGAAAGGACAAGTCTGAGTGTTTGTTTGTTGTGATCACCTGAGAGAAAGACAGTGACCTGGGAAAGGAAACACTTAACAGTCCTGAGCTTTTGTTCTGCATGAAAATTAAGTGCTAACATCCTTGGTGAAGTGTGTGAAATCTCTAAGCCAAATGTAAACAACTTAAGACACAAACTGTGTAGATCTCATAAGCCATCTCCTTCCTGTGCACATGCGTGTATGTTATTTCCAGTCCCATCTCCTACCATTTCTGGGCTCTCTGCACACCAATGTGGCATTGATTCTGTGGCCTTGTACGGACAGCTTGTGTTCAGCTCATTTGTCCCACCATGTTCCTGACTGAAGGGACCTGAATGACCTGCCTTGTGAATTAAGCAGCTCATGAGCAGCCAGTCACTGAAGACCATACATAAATAAAGTCATAGAGGGTTCAAGAAAGAGATAGCTTATTCAATCATCTGCTTCATAGGTGCCAATTTTTATATACTGTGATCTGTAATGATTTGTTCTAAATTGCTTGCTTGTTCCTTTTGGGAAAGGAGTTAAGGATGTTTTATAAAAATGGCCATATTTTATATTTACAGTTAGAAACTGATAGATTTGAATGGAGTGCTAGAAAGTAAGAAAATAATTGTCATGGCCGGTTTGTGTTTCTGAAAGCCAAAAGGAGGGCAGTCAGAGTGTGGCACTTTATAGAACTGGGCGTTTCTTTAAATTGAAGCTTCCAGGGCCAGATATTATTTAGCACTTTGAAAGTTCCCCCTTTAAAAAAAAAATATATATATATATACCTATACCAGAATAATGAAATGGGGGGATTGTACTTGTGAAAACACAAAATGTGTTTCTTCTGAATGTTACAAATGTATTTTAAAAATCTGGTTTCTATAGATAACATTATGGTAGATCACTGGATAGTACGTTTCTTTTTTCTGCAGCTGTACAGTCTAATCTTCCTGGATGTTTGGGCTGTTTGATTTCTTTAAAGATAATATTATCCAGTTATCCATCATGCTATATCTATAGGCTATGCCATGTGACATGTTGGGCAATGCTGTATCATAAAACACATGTAAACCTATCTGTAACCTGTGTTTAACCCAGCATAGTTGTAGCATGTGGTTGTATTAATGAACGTTACAGGACAGCTTTATATTCATTTATAAATCTGTAACATTCAATAAAGAAGCACATGTGGTAAGGATTGAGTATGTTCCCATTTCCATGTTATTTAGCAGCCTCCGATAACGGGAATTTTTGTTCCTGGTCTTCATTATGTTGTGCACACTCCTCAGACCACTGTAAAATATTTGTATAAGATGATGTGCATCCTCTACCAGGTCCCGCTAGCTGTGAGAGGCACGGTATGGTTCTGACAAGCTGGCATGTTATGCAAAATACTATATAGCAAATGAACTTAAATATTTTAAACTACAGTTGAATTAGCTGTTTGTTTACGTCTGCTGACCCCACGTGGAAGCAGTGTACAGTATTTTATAAATACATTCATTCCGTAGCACAGTCTGTTCTAGAAAAAGTGATGCTAATGTTTAATGTTTAGGTGGCTGTATACTTGGCCTAGATATTGCATTCAACTCACTAATCTTTACAATAACAATTTGACTTGACTGAAGTAATCCCTCTCCAAACCCTGTCTTAATTTTGTGTCAGCACAATGCATGCTGTGCTTTATGCATTTCTTTTGACTTTTTTTTTTTTTTTTTTTTTTTTTTTTTAGTGCACTTAACATTTTACTCTTGTCTGTTGCAATGCTTAAGCCAGTTAGGGACCCGCTCAAATTGTTGGGCTTCTTAAAATGGGACTATGTTCAGGTTTCAAAAATTAAAACTAAGTAGTCAAGGGGTTTTTCTTTCAAGCTGGTGAAGCTCTGAACGAATACTATGAAATAAGGTATCAACTGCAAGTTGTAATTGCTAGGGGACCCAGAGACGACAAGCCAGCCCCACTCTGGAGTCCCGAGGTCCAGGTGTAGCAGCATCTGTGAGACGCAAAAGACACAGTCTTTAAGGCTTCCTGGGTGCAAATTGCTAAACCAGAGATGAAAGCCAAAGGTCCACAATGACAGGACAGAAAGGCACAGATCGCTATGAGTGGATGGTCCCACGGTAATGGATGAGACCTCCCTTCTTGTCCTGTGGCTTTCACACCCTGTGGGTGAGCTGGGCCCAGAGGTGGGAATGGGGTGTTTGTTTGATAAAGCACCCGGTGACTCCAAAGAGTGTCTTCTTTAAAGAAGTCGCTGTTCCATTGTTAGAAGCCATTCAACATCTGGAAAAGGATGGTTCCAACTTGCACAGTCTAAATGCTCCCCAAATGAGTAGGGAAATCTTTCCTCTCCACCAGCTTTGACCTGTGCTGTCTCTGGTGTCTACGAGTCAAGCATCTTGTCTCTCAGATTAGAGTCAATAAAAGAGGGGGTTGGTTCTGATTAAAGAAGAACACTTTTCTTTTTCAAATTAATTTCGGAGAGTGTTAGTGTGGCCTTTGCTCTCGTGACCTCCTTGCGCTGATCACCCCTAATAAAATCAAGATGTACTGATTTCTGTGTGTCATCTAAGAGGGGGTGCAGGTAACCAGATTGTCCAGATTAATCAAAAGAGGTGATTCCTTTCCTAATTTTCCTGGAATAACTGGTCACCTTCTGCAGCATGTGATCCCCACATGGGTGTTGGGGGCTGGAAAGTGAACGAATGGACATCTATGTAGATGCCCATAGATTCTGAGGGGCACTAGTGCCAGCTATGGCTCCAGGCCTTTTGGATTGCTGAAGAATGTGAGGCACAGGGTGTGATCAGCCTTGGGCCTGGGGGCACAGCTTTTTTTTTTCTTTCTTTCTTTTTCCTTAGTCTAAAGCTAGCTCCTTTTTTTTTCCGTGTGTGTGAGACCAACAGACTCATCCATTACCTCCCTATGGACCCCAAAACAGTAATCTCAAACATCAACTACATGGAAAAGCCAGATGTTCTGAATTTGACCCAGGTCTGATCTTCCAGTTGACTTCACCTCCTCCCTCCAACCAAGTTCCTAACGTGGCTGCTGTAGCACCTGTCATGTCCAATTCTGAATTGCCTGTCTGAATCCTGAAAGGCCCTCTACATCTTCACCCAGTCGCCTGCCTCTCTCTCTATGAAGGGATTACAAACTCAATGCAAGACCCAGATCTAGAATGCAAAGGAATGGGCCTAGGAAAGACAATGCAAGAGCATGCAAATATATATATATTTGTCCCACAGAAAGATTCAAATCCGGGTTTTCAACCTCTGTACTAGCCACATAGGTATGCGCCAGCAGAATTCCCAATGGCCATGTTTGGGGGCCTCTGATTTGGAGCCAAGCACGGTCTGATTCATGATTCTCACATAGAGAGCAAACACATCAAATACACTCAAGAACTCTGAGTTGGGAGAAGCAGTTCACCCTATTCGGGGTGACTCCTGGATGACTTCCATGTATGTTAATTAGCATGTTTGACTGGATCCAAACACAGGATCAGCGTGAGGGAGACTATGAGGAAGGATACTGTAGCCTGTGAAGACTTACCTGCTTCCTGTCACTGGAGCATCTGAACTGAGTTTCTATTGCTGCTACCACTGTGTAAGACAGTCCATGTAGTCAGTACACTCTACTCATAGCCATTTCGTAACATAGCATTTAGACTCTCACTTGTAAATGTTCTAACCATAGTTTATAATGGGGGAAATTATTCAGATACCATTTTTAAATGAATTCCTATAAATATGATGATTTTGAAATTGGGTTTACTAAATATATATACATCTTTTCCTTCTTTCATGTATGATAGAAAGAGGTTTGCATATCTACTGACACTATGAATATATATATATATAAATCTAGAGGCATTGTTCTTTTTTAACGGTCTGTTACTGGATTCACAATGCACTTTGAGCTTGTCTGTTTAGATATATAATTTGAAGCAGAAGTTGGCAGATTCTACAGGCAAAGAACTTTCTGGAATTTCTGTAACAAATGTTTTGCAATAAAAAAAAATACAAATAGTTTAAAACATGATTCAGACTTCCTTGTGCGTTTATGTGTCTCAGTCTGCTCTCCACCATTCTCATGCTAAAGTCCCTGGTGGTACCTAGGGAATCACTGCCCAGAGCTCCAGGAATTACCCATTTTGGAAAAATAGAAGTTACAAACTGTTAAACTATAAGGTGTGTTCACCAGCAAAGAATGGATATTATAGGCCAATGTGGTGGGTTTTTTTTTCAATTTGAAACATTTTCAAATTGACAGATATCACGTATAATTCTATATTTCTGGTACCTCCTAAGAAACATGAAAATCTGGCTATAATAGACTTACCATATCCCACACAACTGAGCCAAATGGTATACTATATCACTTCAGTGGGTGTCCAGATTCTCCAATATTCCACCAGTCTCCCACCTCTCCCTATTGTCTCTTACCTGATTTCCTTCACTTGTTAGAATTTCCTGGAAGGCCCCGTAGGCTCTGGAACTTCAGTACTAAAGGAATTAAGGAAGTAGCAGCAAGTTTAGAATATTGAAATAGAAAAGACTCGGGGTAGCAACTTGTTTGGGGGGAACAAAGAAAAGAAGAACTAGTCTTTGTGCTAAAAATGTAGAAAAATTATGACTTCCTTGTCCCATTTAAAGTATATTATGAAAATGTTTCATTAGATTGGTTTTACAGCTCTAGTTGTAGGTCCCATTAAGAAGGACCAGCAATAGCCCTTGCCTTTATAAATGCTAAATTAAATTTTAAAATCATAAGAAGAGAAATTTTAAAATATATACTCACTCATTAGACAGTGTTTGTTACACAGGCTGGCATAGAACTCCTGGACTTGAGTGATCCTCCTGCCTCGGCCTTCTAGTTAGCTAAGACTACAAGTACATACTATTGTACCTAGTTATTCCTTTTATGAAAAATAATTTGCGCCCAAAAAGATACCAAGATGAATAAAGTAAACTGAGTTTCTATTCTTGTGAGGCTTACCTAGAGCTGTCATGAGAGTCAGATCATGTCATTATCATTTAGTTGCCCAAAGAATACTTTTTGTTCATGTTACCTCACTTAATTGAAAGCCAGAAAAACTGGTCTACCATATAAGGAAGGTCTTCGATAACCACATCCTTATCACTGGAATGTTTTATTTTTTTAATCTTTCTAAATCACTGGTTATTTGACTTTTACCCATTCAGCTCATCACTATGTTATATCTCAGACCATTTCCTTAAAGCTGTGGGCTATAGAATAGTCATAATCTTTTAATATATCATTGGGCTATAGACTAGTGGTACCCAGTTAACTAAGAAATGCTGTCACTTGAAATCAGAATATTACTCTAATATTTTCTGCCTCGAATATTAAGCACTCATTTTTTTAAAGTTAGATATATTAATTTTCTAGAACTGTCTTAACAAAGGAGCATAAACTTGGAAACTTAAACAACAGAAATTCATCATCTCAAATTTTTGGAGATTTTTGAGTCCAAAGTAAAGATGTCCATAAGTTCGTACCCTTCAAAGGGCCTGAGAGAGACTCTTCCCTGTGGTCTTGCTCACTTTGGATGTTCGCTGACATTCACTGACACTCCTTGGCTGATAGAAGCATCACCCTGGGCTCTGCCTTTGTGTCACCTGTTGTTGTTCTCCCCATGTATTGTCTCCAAACTTCTCCTTTTCATAAAAGACAAATCCCATTATATTAACCCCACCACCACCACCCTGCACCTTGACTAATTCCACCCACAACAATCTTTTTTTTCCTAATAAGGTCATATCTGAAGTGCTCAGGGCTAGGACATCCACATATGGACTTGGGGGAAGAACAAAATCAGATGGCAATAGTGAGTGAATTTGTACATAGGTTTATAGAGGTCATTAATCTTTCTCATGTCTTTCAAGGTAAAGAAATCAGAATTCAAGAATCAATCTACAACAATATATGGGTTAACCAAAAGGAAAAAAAATAAATTAGTAATGCCAACCATGAAGTTATTAAAATTTTTCAAGTTTTATGTCTTCATGTGAAAATACATTGTTTTTTCATGTGAACATAAATTGTTATGTTGTCTTTTTTTTAATTTTTTTTTTTTGAGACAGGCTTTCTCTGTGTTGCTGTGGCTGTCCTGGAACTTTCTCTGTAGACCAGGCTGGCCTTGAACTCACAGAGATCCATCTTCCTCTGCCTCCCAAGTGCTGGGATTAAAGGCGTGCACCACCACCACCTGTTGTAACTTTTTCTTTTTTCTTCAGAGCTGAGGACCGAACCCAGAGCCTTGCACTTGCTAAGCAAGCACTCTACCACTGAGCTAAATCCCCAACCCCATTATGTTGTCTTTTTAAAAGCCAACACAGAGACATTGAGAGGGCTCTGTAGGCTTGCCACACTAACTTGACAACCTCAGGTCATTCCCCAGAACCACACACAGGCAGAAGGAGATAGCCAGCTCCTGAAAGTGTGCCTCCAACCTCCACACATATGCCAGGGTACATAAATACCCACATTCTCGCATATACCATACACACAAACAGTAAGAAATAAATAATTTTAAAGGAGCTAATAGTGAGTTTGAGGCCAACCTAACTGATTAAGTAAGACCCCATTTCAAAACTAAAAATGCATTCCAATATGTGTGGCTCATACTAGGAATCCCAGAACTTGGGAGGCTGAGACAGAAGGATTACCACAAATGTGAAGCCAGCTTAGATAATTGTCTTAAGAAATGATGCCAGGAATGGTGGTACATGCCTTTATCTCAGCACTCATAAGGCAGAATCAGGTGTATCTCTGTGAGTTTGAGGACAAATGGGTCTATGTAGAGTGTTTCTGGCAGCCAGAGCCATATAGTAATGCCTAATCTTAAAAAATAAATAAATAAAATAAACCACCATAGTGATGATAACAACAACAACAATAATAATAATAGGTGCTAGATATGTGGTAGAGTGATAACTCAATGGTAGAGCCCTTGACTAGTATGTACAAGGCTCTGTGTTCATTCCCAAGTTCCCCACACACAAAAATAATAATAATAAAGAGGAGAATATATGGTTTGATCCCAATTTATGTAAAATCCAAATCAGACATACAGAGGTGGATATATTTGCATATAAGTCATGAAAAGACTGGAGAGATGCCTCAAACCATAGTAAATGTTTTATAATATAGCTTTTCCTTTTGAAAATTCAAATGTGTAAGAATCAAAACTGACCTAAAGCTGGGTGTGGTGGCACACACCTTTAATTCCAGCACTCAGGAAGCAGAGGCAGGTGGGTCTCTGTGAATTTGAGGCCAGCCTGGTCTACATAGTTCCAGTAAGCCAGGGCTACACAGAGAGACTGCATACACACACACACACAGAGAGAGAGAAAGAGAGAGAGAGAGAGAGAGAGAGAGAGAGAGAGAGAGAGAGAGAAAGAGAGAGAGAGAGACCGAGACCTAAGCAAAGTTGGATGACATACCAAGAGGCATCAGCTTCAGTCAGGAGGGTTTTCTCTACTGTCTTTGTGTTAAAGTTCACTGTAGGCATCATTCAATAATCATGAGGCTTCCAACGCAAGCCATCTCCTCCAACAACTGGTATAGCTAGAAGAAAATGGGAGAAATGGTTTAACTACTAATGTCATGAAATTATAATTTAAGGCATAAATATAATCAATGCCTTTTGAGCAGTTACTTTGTTCCTGTGAAAGAACTGAAATTTTTATTAAAAAGGCAAGACAGTCATGACTAAAAAGATAATTGCATGTTTTCATTATTTAATTAGAGCTGTTGAAAAAAATGGAACAAGCAGGCTAAGTATGGCTCATCAGCATTCAAAGCGCTCAAGTAGAAGCTAATGGCCCCCGGGAAGGCAGTGCGTGGATGGTTTCCCACATTTAGGTAGAAAATTCGACTACATAACCTATTCTGAGACTGTAGAACAGGACTAGAAAGTCTTCAGAATTAGGAGGAAAGAACAAGCCCCCTAGCCTGGCAGAACCTAAAGGAATAAGGAAGACTAAAGACAAGATAGGGTCAGGTATTTGCAAGGCTAGAGTCCCAGGTAAAAGAAGACTCCACCATGAAAAAGACTGTGACCAATTGATTCCTCAGGAGCAGTAGGAAGCCAACCTGCCCTGTATGGAGGACTCACCACCGAGAGGCGCTGTTGAGTACAGGGCCCCTTCAATTCACTCCATCCTGTCTACACTTCTCTGATGGTGATGGCGTTATTATTCTGTCCTGGGTAGAGGAAAGGAGATTCATCGTTCCATACATCCGTGTCAGGCTAGAGTTTGGACTTTATTCTGTGACAGGAAGAAAGGGACTAAAGAATTCTAGACAGAGCATGTAGCACATGACAGTGTGGCTGGTGGAGGAGGGAGGGAGGGAGGGAGAGCAGGACCTGTTGAAGGATTCCTTTGTAGGCAAAAGTGAAAGGAAGCTTCACAACTCGGTTTTATAAATGTTCCCTGAATCCCTACTGTTTGACCAGCACTGACCACTATCTTTATCTGAAACAGCACCCTCTCACTCAACTTTCTGATGAGCTATGTCTTTCTCAGTAGAGGACTATGCTTAAATGCATGCCCAAGGCCCTTGCCTCGAATGCCAGCCTCCCAGGAGCATTTGTGCCATGGAGAACAGCTCTACACTCTGGCTGAAGATCTACCTTAGGCTGCTGCTGCATTCTTGGCTTGATAGGGTTAATCTAGAAGTACCAGTCAGCTTGCCATGGTGGTGCAACTCTGTGACCCCAGCCCTTGGGAAGAAGAGGCAGGAAGAGTGGTCAAGGTCAGTTTGGGTTACGTTGTGAGATCAAAAGACAATAATAATGATGATAGTAGTAGTAATAAAAGTATCAGTTAGTTCTTCTTTTGGCCATCGGACTAGAGATGGTACAAAGGAGCAAGTTGGATAAGTATAGCCCAGACCCTTGGGCTGCCAGCAGTCATGTGCCTGCAGGTTGGCTGCGCTGCAGAGGGAATCAGTCTGCCAAGAACAAGAGAGAAGAATATAGTCACGAAGACAAGAGCAGATGTAGGAACCAAAAAGATTCTAGACTCTTCCTGAGATGTAGCTATAATCCCACATTTAGGCTCTAAAAACATATCAGTATCCTTAAAATAAATACTTCTGTCATACACTGAATTATGTCCCCAAAGATACCTTTGTTCAAACCCCCAGAACTTGTGGCTATTAGCTTGTTTTGCCAGGGTGAGTATCCCGAGATGGGGGAACGATCCCGGTTTATACGTGTGGATCTGATTGGAAGGAGGGGAGTCAGAGTCAGAAGGCCAGGGACAACAGAAGCAAACTGGGAGAGGGGGCCTGAAGCCCAGGAATGCAGGAGGCCTTTAGAAGCTGGAAAGGACAAGGACTAGACTCCTCCCCAAGAGTCCCTAGAAAGAATCAGACCTGCTGCCATCTTGATTTCAGGTCCTTAAGATACACTTGAATTTACAGCCTGCAGAACTATGGGAGAGCATCATGATGATTTCTCAAAGCAGCAGTTGGGAATGAACACATGGCAACCCCACACCCAGCATTTTTTCAAGTGAAGCTATATCATGCAGCCTCCAAAATCTTACTATTGCACATTTTTTGGGGGGGTCTCTGTGATATGTTCTAGCCCAGGCTGGCCTCAAACTCATGACCCTCTTGCCTCAGCCTACTGAGTACTGTTAAGATATATGGTATCCAGCTGGCTGTGGTGGTACCTATATGTCCAGGCTTGGGGGTCGGAGAGAAACATTGGCATATTAAATGTATACATTGGTCAAAAATATATCCTGGCTTTGAGACGTGGAAAAAGAAAAGAGTATCTTAGAATTATGAAAATAAGGCTAGATATGCCCTTACAGCTCAGCTATCTCTCCTTCTGTGGAGCATTCTGTAACCTACCCCAATGATCTTTCCTTGCTTCCCAGACTTCAGACCTTACTTCTTTATCCAACTGCTAAGTTTCTTTGTCCCTCATTCCTCTCAAGCCAGTCCTTAGAGACCCTGGGCACATTTTCAGGACTGAGCTGAGGGCCTGACACGGAATTAATGAAGAAATGAATGCATATTCCAGCTCAGGCCCTGAGCAAATTCCCCACTGAGCAACAATAACACACGTCACCATATGAACCTGATTTTGCTAAGCACCATAAATAAATAACATAAACAAATCCCCCCTTGAGTGTAGCATGTGCTTTTAATGTACATTCAAATTTGCGATGGATACAGAGCCAAGTTGGAGGAACCAGGGTGGGTTTCCCAGGAAGGGTGAGATTTGAACTCAAATACCTCAATTGTGAAGGTATGTGATGGGTGGAATGTCAAGGTAAGGGGGAAATTCAACGAAAAAGGCATAACCTGGTTTTTTCAAAAGTCCTAACAGCGTGAAGATGCAGTAGACTCCGGAAAGCGGTGAGAGACTCGCCCGGGCTGGAGTACACACCAACGTGCGGTAAGTAAAAAAAAAAAAAAAAAAAAAAAAAAGACAGGTCCAGAAAATCTGGGCTAGAGCTAAAGATGACACAAAAGACAAACAATAGAAAAGCTAATGTGGGAAATAGACAGGACTCACCAGTGAGATAAAAGGGCTACAGAGGGCTAAATACGGGAGAATCTTCTGGGTGGACATCACAGAGTGAGAAGAGGCACTAACGGGGGAAAAAGGGAAAAACTGAAGATGACGCCAAGGTCTTAAGTCTCAAAGGTGAGCCTAAATATATAGAGAGGGCAATTGTGTATTGTCACCGAGCGCCAAGATATTCCCCCCTCCCCGACAGATGAGTGAAAATGCAAATAAACTGTGAAACAACGTCAAGTAAGTGAATTGAATGAACGAACAAATGGTGACAGTCCTTGACCCAGTCACAAGACAACACAAGACCCAAGTCAAAGATACACGAGAACTTCCACTGATACGATCTGAGCTGAAAGGTATTTGGGGACTGTGGCCAAGAGTGCTTTAGTCACCAAGGTATTCTTCCCTGTGTGATATGTCTGAATAAGTCCTCTGTGAGCCTCTAATCTAATAGCAGCAAAGTAAAACATGCAACAGTTGCCCCTCTGGGGCATCTCAGGCATGCCATGAAAGCTAACTTGGCCATGGGAAGAAGCTATAGGAGCATTTCAGTGGAAGGCCCCCAGGTCACTGGATGCTCATGAGCAGCTGATACTGACTGAGAGACTGGAGATTGACAGCAGCAAGCCACAAAACCCAGAGTCATCCCACCTTGTAGGAGAGGCAGCTTAGGGACCCAGTGGGTCCTTCTCTACAGCACCCAGATGCCTTCCCAACATGATCTAAATTACATTGTTCTTGCTTATGGTTATCTCTGCCTCTGCCCTCACCCTCACCCCTCAAACTTAGGTTTACTTTAAGAACTTTGGTCTGCTTTACCTTGCTTTTTATTTTTTTTTTATTTTTATTTTTTTGAGACAGGGTCTCTCTACATAGCCCTGGCTGTCCTGGAACTCCCTAGGTAGCCCAGGCTGGCCTCAAACTCCCAGAGATCCACCTGCCTCTGCCAGGATTAAAGGTATGCACCACCACACCTGGCTTACCTTGGTAGTGAACACAACCATGCCCCATTCCCTAAAGTGTTTTCCCTGTTTCACAAAGAAAACTGATCCCTAGTGTCCCTTGGGTCAGTCTTACCAAGGCACCCATTTTGCTAAGCAGGACATATGTGGACTAGGCAGAGAGGAGAGTGGATGAAGGAATGGAGTATATTAACACACACAGGCATGCACACACACAAAATGCTGTTTTATTTTGTTTCCTTTTCACTGTTTTTGAGTCGGGGTCTCATTCTGTAACTCTGGCTGGCCCCCAAACTTACAGTAATTGTTCTGCCCATGTTCTCTAAGCGCTGAGATTACAGACATGAGCCACTATGGCTAACCTCACAGATACTTTCAGTAACTTCTTTTCCTTAGAGTTATATATATATATTCCTTATATATAGCCCAAGCAAAAGAAGAGAACTGATGTAGCCTGTTGTCACTGGCGTCTAGAGACTGGAAGCGCTGTTCCTCAGTTTCCTATTGTAGGCTTTCAACCAGACTTGTCTCTGCTCTCTGGGCTTCTATGCTCACAGTGGAAGCTCCTGTGGTTCACTTTTATTCAATCAATTTTGCTAGGCCATTAGCTCAGTCTGCAGTGGACAAAAAGCAGGTCAGCTCCATCATGTTATACGGGCATGTCAAAAAATGCCCAAAACCAACCTGATGTCTTTCCTAACACATTCTCTCAATTCCTCTGTCTGCTACAGAGGTTTGCAGGTTAGACTAGGCCTGTGGTTCCTTAATTTCTTGATTTATAACCATTTACTGTAGTGTGCTAAGAGCTAGGAACATTTAGGGGGTCGGGGGAGCTAAGATTTGTACAACTATTTAAAGAGGATCACAGAATAGCTAAAGTTCATCCACTGTCACCAAGAGAAGGCTCCAGGAAGCCCAGGTTAAGACCCAACAGGACCCCATGCAGGCTGTCAAGTGGAAAGCACACAGTCACCCGGAGCCTCTGTTTGCAGAGGAGACCCAGGTGACAGCTGTCTGCAGCGGTACCACAAGCAGCAGGCACATGCTCATCGCCCTCCGCTCTC